AATCTGGCTATCCACTGAGACGCTTGCAAATGAAGACTAAGATGATGTGATGGTTTAAAGGTTTGGGGAGAATACAGCATATCATTGTGTCTTCTCTAAGTTAACACTGCTAAATGCGATATTGAAAGCTGTAATAACTTTTATATACAAACATTACGTAAGTTTTGCACAAATATTTAAAAGCAAAGCGAGTCATGCTTCAAATCGCACAATTTTGTCACCCCTAGTTCTCATCTGCTAGGGCTTCTGGTCCCTAATTCCTTCTGTATTTTTGTGGTTTGGCTCATTATATGCGATGGAGCATTTCGTTAGCTAATTGAAAAGCTTGGTGTGGTCATTAATGAGGGTTCTGCTTGAAATATCTTTTTTTCCCAGATAGTGACTGAAGTGACTCTTGTGTCAAAACAGCTTGGCAAATCAAAGTGGTTAGGTGCAGTGGGGACAGACCGACAGCTGAAATCTGGGAACAAACTATTCTATCAGATTGCCTCTTCAGGAAGAATACTTATATGCATACATACATACATCCATACTAATGTTCTGTGACTTGATCACCCTACCTATGTGTTCACACAGTGTGTATCCATGGGAGGGAGGCGGTGTTCCCTTTTCTTCCTCTCCCCAAAATGTATTCATTAACAATTAGTCAGATTTGTGCTGTTTGTCATGAGCTTGACTTTAGACCATAGGAATCAACTTCAGGACAATGCACTGTTAACCTTAAAACATTTACTGTAGATATGGTATTGTAGTAGCTTTAGAAGTGCCTTTAATTGGGAGGAAACAGTAGCAAGATGACTCTAACGCAGCTGACCCCTGCCACTTTTTTCAATAGATTGTTATGGTAAGTTCTTGTTCCGTCCCCTGCTTCCCCCTCTCCGTTTCTGGAAATAATGGAAGGCCAGCTCAAGACAGCAGGTTTTTCCTCTTTAAGGTTAAGCTAGTTTGTAAGTCTCATGAGAGCCTCACTTTTTGACAGAAGCACCTCAAACACTCAGCATTGTATCCCCGCACGGATCCTGATCCTTGCCAACCCTCTCCTCATCCTGTTGTAGGACGAAGTTGCTTTCAGCAGAATTCATACTTAAGTCCTACTGGGTTCCAGAAAGGAGGACATGCTCCAAGTGGCCAAATCCACGAGGGGTGCTAGCGCTCTTGTCACTTGTAAGCAGGTGCTGGAAGAAGAGTGGTTAGTGGGGCCACTTTCTTACACACATGCATGTCCATAGGGACAGTGCAATGGACAAGCATTGCTTGAGGGAATCAACAGCCTCCCTCTGCTTAATGCAGCAGCCTCCTCTTTGCTCTAAAACCTTTTAAATGATACCTCTCCCCTGGATGCTGTGCCAGAAGCAGCCTCAAGTTTCATAGGGAGAAAAGCAAGAGAGTAAAGTATACTGGGAGGGTGGAGGAGTAGTAATGTGTCATTCTCACAGGTTAAGGCTTCTGTCGCCTACCTTCTCTTAACAGCAAGGCTGTATTTTATATTAACTGATTTCCGTGTAAAACACAAATGCTGTTGAACCTACACCGAGCCTCTGTTCAGGTGTTGACTCACAAGTTAAGGCACCGAAGGCCTTTTATGATAGATTAGAAGGTATTCTCAGTTATTGGGGGGGCGGGGAAGAAGAGCTGTATGATGATAATACACAGTATATTACAGTTAAAAAAAAAGCAGGGAAGGATAGGATTTGGAGCTCTTAATTTCTTTGTAAAACCAAACTGGTCTTCAGCACAGCCTAAATCACAGTGTGGGGTTTGGATGTCTAAGATTGCTCACGTATTTATTTTAAAGAACATGCATCTGGAATGGCCTTAGAGGTGCCAGCTTTGTGCTAGAAAAGTCCAGTGCATACAGGACCCTATTTTCCCCAGGCTAAAAATTACCTAACGGTCAAAGCTGTTGGGGGGTACGGGGCGTGCTGCTTTCTTGCACTGGGTTTGGTTTGGTGGGGATAAGCGGGCAGTTTCATTGTAAAGGTGAGCTAATGGTGGGGGGAGGTAGACTTCCTTTTTTAACTAAGCAAACCCCCCAAACCCTGTTTTTATGCAAAGAAGCTGAGTGTGTGTGCGTGTGTGTGCACATGTGCGTCTGCATGCGGACACGCACGTGCATGTTAGGACACAATGCCAGATTGGTTCTGGTCAACTGTTTGTGAGGAAAAAACGTGTATTCACCTCAATTGCCTAATTATGCTGCAAGACGGTCTGAGCATGTTAAATGGTCCACAAACTAGTTGTGTTTATTTACAAGCTTGCCGAAGCAGTCATCTAACTTGTTCAATTCATTATTCAAATGTTTGTATTAGTTCGCTTTTTTTTTTTTTTAAAATTAGCTTACTGCTTTCCCTGGCCTGATACTTGACATAAAAGACCTCAACCTGTGTGCTTAGTGTCTTTTGGTACCGATTTTTTTTCTTTTTAAAATTACAGTTAAAACTATGGTGTCTTTTTCTTTCCTTTTTTTTTTTTTCCTTGAAAGTATAACTTTTTCGTTTAAAGGTACCAAAAATGTGTAAATAAATTACTCCACACAGGCAGCTGGTGGAATTAAAAAAATATTAAAAGTTTAGGCTAGTACCCTTTGGGGGAAAAAATGGGTACTATATTTAAACAGGATTGTCTTTTATAAGGAGATTTCAGACATTTTTACATTTCAGTTCTAAGATGTGTACAGATGCTGCAGATGGTCTTTGTATTTTATATATATATAGCATGGGAGGGTGTTAAAAATAATATGCCTTTATAATAAACAAAACCTGTCTAAATATCTATTTGCCAAACAGACTTGGAGAGAACTTTTACACAGTTCAAAATGGGGAGTTAGGCAAGCAGAGGCCGAGTGGTGATAAGTGTGTGTGTGGGGGGGGGGGCACCTCCTGCAGGGAGGAAGGGGAGCTCGCCAATTTCCCTAGAAACGCAGACGAGGTTCTGCTTCCTTGTGTTCCCACAGGCCTTGCCTTCTGAGGAATCTGGATGACGACTGTGCATCTGTGTGTGTGCGTGTGTGTGCCTGTGTTATGTTGTTTCTTCCTCTTAAGTGAAACATCTTAATTGTTTTAATTTACTTTTGAAAGACAGGTACTAGATGTTAATTTGAAAATATTCTGCACTCTGCACAGTTGCCTTATCAATTAGTCAGTAGGAACTGCTCTGAACATCTTCAGTAACTTTCAAAAGCAATTTTGGGGTGTGAGTACATATCTTTAACTTCTATGTACAGAATACTGACATACAAGTGTTATATATATGTGTGTGTGTGTATATATATATATGTGTACACATTTTCAAATTTTAATTTCTGTTCACCATTTAGAACAAGATACTGTTAATGCCATTTTGGTGTTGTGAGAGTAGAAAAATTATCAAGAAGCTTATCTTTTTTTGTCTGTTTCTAGAAAACGTGCACTATTTTGGCTGTTACTGGCTGTTGTATCATGACTTCTGTACTACACTGTAAACCACGTGGGGGAAATACGAACGCTGGCTGATACGGTTGAAGTGTACCTCCAGTGTCATTAATTACTGCGAGGTAGAGCTTATTGTAGACTTACTGGTCATGGTAGTACAACTTTATTCACCATTTACTGCCATGTATCAAAGAAATTTCTTTCATTCCAGAAATGCATTGAAAAGTGTGTGTTTGTGTGTGTATGTATACCCAGGCCTGCACGTGTGTTTAATGTGCACCTGCCTGCAATACCACTTTGATATTAACTGCCTTGTATTTTTAATGAAAATGTAGCAAGTGGGGCAAAGGTTTTTGCTTGCTCTCAGACAGAAAGACATTAAAACCAAAAAACTTCTAACATATATTTAAGCGAAGAATGAAATCTTAAATTTGCCTCTAACATAAGAGATGGAAATCTGTACCTCAAATTGCTCTAGGCAGTAGGTTTCTAATGCTGTTGCTGTGATGGTTTAGAGTTCACTATTTCAACTGAAACTAAAACCTTTGTGCCTGATCATGATTTATTGAGTAAAGTAGCAGTGCCAGGAAGATTATAAAATCCTGATGCCGAGTTGTGAATGTGAAGTAAATTAGACTAAATAAAAGTTCATACCTTTCCACAGTGAACTTCAGGCGGTTTTCTTTCACTTCCTCTAACAAAA